AAGCTTAATTTGAGCAATATGGCGTGCTGTAAAGAGGCGAACAAATTTCTTTCCGGGGCGACAGTTAACAAATGGGAGCTTGGAACGCCGTTCCAACAGCATGGCTCGAACCAAAAGTTCTACTGTATCAGCAAGGTCGTCTCGTGTCAGTGGGTGTCTACGGTTTGAGAAACGCTTCAACACACTTACAATATTTTTTCTTCTTTCTCGGTGAGCAGCGTGCGTCTTTTGGTTGGAGGGCTATGGCGTCGGTCCAAGCGATATTGGAACGCAGAGAGTGGAAGTTTCGCAATTCGAGCAGCCTGTCGTCGAGTGACTCCCTGGTCCGTCGCCACAAAGGCGGCGTCCAACATCCGTTTTTCTCGAGTCTCTTGACGCTGGCGTTTTGTCATGGTTGCTGGGTCAAGGGAGTAATTGGACTTAGTGGTGGTTCGCCATCAAGGAACAAAAAATGTTCCCATCGGCAATCTGTAGAGACACTGGAATTGCTCGTGATGAGCATTTGGGAGCCATGGTGTTCGACTCAGGATTTCAAATTTTGTTTCCCAAGCAAAAAACCGCGCATTTGCTATTTTTGGAACTGTTTAGGCCGTGCGGGCCACCATTGCAGACTTATGACGCTTTTTACAGTAACCCTTTGTGCGAAATACTGGCACGGCGGCTTGATTGTTAGATTTTCAGTTGATTTTATGCATTTTGTCCGTTGTTCAATTGCCCATGGCCTTGTGCGATTTAGGGGGCACCCCCCGAGTAGAGGGGCCGCCAGCATCTTCCACTTCCCAGGACCGCCGCCCTTCAAACGGAGATTGTCCACGTGTACACCTGGCGTACACGTAGACCAATAAAATCATCTTTTGAAGGCTTTGGTCCTGGGGCCACTCCTGGGTACTGTACTCTGTACAGTACCCCAAATCTCCCCCACAGGTGCCATCACCAATTGAGCTGAGGCGCATGACGAGTGGGCGATGACGACGTCGCGCATGACACGTGGCAGACCCGTGTCTGCCGGTTCTGGCGGCACTAATTCGAGGGTGGCAATAATAAAAGCAGCACTATTGCGCGTCCCCCCCTGTACTCACTTTGCAGTTGGTTGGCATTCTTGTCGACTTCTCACTGCTGCAAAAAAAAATGGCCGCAAGACAGGTTCAGAATGTGGAGGTTCTCATCCTAGTGTCTAGGTGACAAATGGCCTCATATGAGGCCATTTGACCGCATATGAGGTCACTTTTCAACTTAATTTTTCTCGACTTGTGCGAGCTGAACAAAATGGAAAAAGATACTCTCGCCACCGCAGTTGACTTCTGCGCTTTGGAAGGGTGGAGCTTGGTGAGATCTGCACGTCCTTTCCAGGCTTTTTGAGAATACCTAAAGAAGAAGCTTTTTTAAAGAACATCAAAACGTTTTTTGTTGATATCTTCGAAACCAAAACGCCTGTTTAAAATATCATCCGATTGTTGAAACTATATTAGATTCTTAGTATTTCTGTGTATTCATAACTGCTATCCCGATGTTTTGCAGGAAGCTATTACCGAGGGAATATTGGTTAAAGAAATGGTGTCTAAACTGATTTTATAAACTTTCGATTTAATGTATACATTTTTGCAAAAAAAACCCGGCCTCATATGAGGCCAAGCCTGACCTCATATGAGGCAAATTGCCGGTCGTCTAGACACTAGAACCCTCCCCAGGGTTCTATTCTGACGAGATAGTGTACAGTACCCACGGCACTGTATCAGAAGCTCTAAACTGCTGCAGCATGTGCGATACACCGTCGGCATAGATAACGGTGAAGTAGTGTAGCGTCTACAGTTTGACAAATACTGCAGCTGCACTTCGACAAGTGTACGGTACCATCGATAGGCAGGGAGAGAGGGACGCAAGAATAGCCACCCCACCATGACACTTGGTCGTCATGTGGATCTCGATGTAACGGCCATGAGAATCTCGACATAACAGTCCGTTAACTATTTTGGCAAACAGAAACTATTTTGGCAACGCCTGCTTCCCCTTTTTGCCGCACTTTTCCGAAACCGAGTCACCCAGATCCGCCCCCGCCACTTGCTAACCTTGGTAGCTCTGTGACTGATTACAACCTGCGCGCCTTTTCTGTTTTTACCGCCATTCGAAAGCCCATTACTTTCGCTGGTCCGCCAAAAATCCAGGCTGTGCCATGCCATTACAACGTAATATGCTTTTCCATATCGATCGATAGCCGCCCATCATCGGCATTCCGGAAAAGTGCGGCAAAAAAGGGAAGCAGAGCGTTGCCAAAATAGTTTCTGTTTGCTAAAATACTGTAGTTAACGGACTGTTAGAATAAAGAGTTTTTTTCGGGCCACGGCCATTATTTGAGGTTGCCAAATTAGTTCCATGCGATTCAGACCTGTAAAAGGGGTTCATTTAAGTGACTTCATTCCCTTGAATGAACACATGATGTGATTTCGTTACCGTTGTAAAGCTATATGCGCGCTTTATGTGTTCATTGAGCTTTAAAAAGTCAAAATCGGTGAAGGACTTGGTAAGATACGGCCTTTTCACCAGACATGCCTAGAAAAAAACGGTCACTTGCCACATTTTATCATGAACTGTTACGTAGTCCCTCGCAGGTTTGACCTTATTGAATCAGCTCTTGGTATACTGTAGCTGCTCTCGTGGCGCTCAGCTTACCCCAGATGCATATGGGGCACCCAGCAGGGTTTTTGTTCGCTCGCCACAACAGCCAACTGATCCCCGGCTGATATCAGCCGGGGTAGAGACCGCGTACGACCACAGAGCTATCGCAGAGCTATCAATATGCCCTAGGTTGAGGCCACGGACGACTATGGATCCGTTGTGCCATTGAGATCGTCAGCTTTCTCGCAATTCGGAAATGATCGCCGAAACCATTTTCTGTCGCAGCGCCGTTGACTGTATTGCCGCGCTCTGCATCAACCCTTGTTTAAACCCTCAAAAATATCTTCGCATTTGTGAACATAGACGGACCATCGTAATTATTGCTCGGATAGTACCGTACTACTAGCATATTCTCGCGTGATAGCTTTTCCGGTTTTTGTAAGGAGTCCGGGATTCAAGGAACGTACAAGTATGTGATACACTCGAGCACGATTTGTTCCAAAGGGGCAAGGATGGCATTGCTGCTGAGCTAGAGCAGATATGAGACTGTATCGAGTACAGTCCACCATCGTGAGGGCATCTCGAGTAGGTGAATTATTGCTTTGAGTGTATAAAGTTTACCGTACTGTACCCTTGGTACTGTGCCGAGTGCGGTAGTCGAGGGTTCACGCGCACCTCGGAGAATCAGACTTCTGTCCGTATAACATCTCCTTTATATATAAAATGAATAAAGATAGGGTTGAGTATAGAACGGTATCATACGCATGATCGAGTGCCATGAGCTAGTTTTTGATAAAATATATGGGCCGAGCAGTCGACGATTCGGCATGGAGGAAAACATGATGCCTTTCAACAAACCGCATTCGTTGCCGGGTTCTCACTGGTTGTACGGGGGTGTATGGTTGTAAAAACTTATCATATGATAAGTTTTTTATCATACGCGATCCCATTCGTTGCCACGGCCACTTGCCTCCGTTTAATGTCTGCCCTGCACGGTTCCCTCTCTGTTGTAAAGTTTATAGGCCTGCCTGCTGCCTCATTTTCACTATCGTCTCTATAACTTTACTGTAGCGACCACCTCTTCACCCTCCTCATCCCCTCAGCGCCCCCTTCTTCACCCTCTCATCGCCATCAATTGTTCTCCTACAGCCACATCCCTCCCAATGCTCACTTCCGAGGAGAGTTGAGTACGTATTCGCTTTCCAGCGCAGTACGACCTAGCCTGTGGTGCCCGTTTTTTGGCACGGTATGATAAGTCTTGATATGCGCGTATCCTCGATACTTGTTTCCAGGCGCACGTATGTACCGTATACTGTACAATATGGATCCGCTGGGTCCCCAGGCGAAACGCTGTGCGATACCAAATTCGCAAGCCTATCATCTTCCGGAGAGGCAGAGATGACTTTGCATGCTTTGTATTTGTCCCACGTCTGAAGATGCGCCCGCTATCGATGCATCGTTTATTCCTCCAACCAGAAAAGGCTTCAGGACTGAGCAGTCCCTCGATGGCGAAGCAAACCAGAATGCAACCTCTGCAATGGTGAAGCCGCTAAGAGCCATTACCGTTACTGAAGTATATTGAAACCTCAGACAACTGCACCAACGTTTGCAAGCAAAAGCCGTACTGCACAATAGCAAGGAGGATTTGGGACACGCGGCGTTGTTACAGTGCCGGAGCTATGTATGAAAGGAGGCAATACCTTACAACAATGGAGAGTGTACAGTACAGTAGCACAGGACAGCAGCCCTCGCCTACTCGAATATGTGTCCACCCCATTGCCATGTTGACCGGACTTGCAAAGAAATGCGACCCCGTCAGCGAAGACGAGGACATCACGTATTGGGGGCACCTTTAATGGTACCCAAACTATGAAGGCATGGCTTGGAACTACAAATTGCGTCGCTTTGCCCCTTGACCAGCAGTAATTCTTTTTGGGCACTGATTCTAGGAATGCAACGATATGTTCGTACGGTAATCGAGTTTCATGGACACGCATGATGGCCTCTCTTCAACTCGGGACAGAGGGCGGCAACGGAGCTCTGGTGACTTGCGTGACGTCCGTGTATAGGATATAAGTGGCATATGATGAACATGCAAGTGTTCACACTTGACTTGTGATGCTTGAGACCTCGACACTTCGGCCCGACAAACGGCCCAAAATTACGTTATTTTTGTTGTTTTCGTAGAGGTAGCGTCACCCGTGGCACCCCTGTCAAGCCTACAAGTCACTCAGAAGACCCGACTGTAAGTCTTGCAGCAACGTGTCCACGCTGACCGCGTTGCTGCTCCCCAAGAAGCCCCGCTGCCTTCCGCGTACGCTACAAGTTGTACAAGCACGCTGCCGCGCCCAGTTCCCCCTTTTAGCGTCAAATCCTGTGCCGCCTGGATGTTGCTTCATCGAGCCCTGGTCCTTCATTTCCTCCCACCCACCCCCCTTTTCACACCCGCATCACCAAAACGAACATCCGCGTCGCGGCACGGTTTTCCCCTGCCCTGGGAACTCCCGCGACGCCATGCCGCCAACCCTCGACTCACCCGCCCTCGCTGCTTCCATCCCTTGGTTCAACAACAGCTGGCTCTCCGTCTCCGTCGCCGCCGTACCGCGTGTCCCCAACCCAAACCATCGCGCAGACCGCAGCCCATCCTCTGCCCGAACGGCTTCTACCGCTGCCCGGCAAACAAGCGCCGTGTCGCACCGCACAAGACACTCGTCGTCGGTGCATACTACTTCGTCCCTCTCGCTCATGGAGAGGGGTTCTCTCGTCTCCGTCTCGTCAAGCGCCGGCGCCCCGGCCGAAGCTTTCGGCGAGCTGGAGGGTGCTATGACACCGGCGGTCCCAACGCCGCCTACGGCCGTCGCTCTGGCGAGACAGGCGAGTAATAGTGACAAGGCTAAGGCTGTGCAGATGCGAATAGTGCAGGTCCGGCATGCGTTAGATAAGGTGGCTGACAGCACACCGCTAGGCTCGCATTGAATTGTTAATAGGAGAGGTGCCGGGCGGACGCTTTCTGCTGAGACGCAAGGTTAGATTAGATAGATGTGTACAGTCACAACGTTTATTGTGTTTGCTGCCCCCGGATCGGAGCCTCCGAGCCATGTAAAATTTGTGCAGTTAGTTTACGCTTCATCAGTGCATTTCACACCTCTGCGGTGAGTTTGAATATGACGGAAGAACCGAAAACCAACTTCATGTTCAAAACCGAGAAACAGGTACGCGTGTTGGCGCGACGCTAGACGACGGCCACGCTACTGCAAAACTTGACGAGTGTAAATGTGATACTATCGATGGCTATCACTCTTCTTGCTCTTCTTTTTCTCTTTCTTGAGCTTCTTCCCCTTGCGCGACTTGCGGACCCCACCAGACGCAATTTTCAACTTGGCTTCCTCCCTCAACCTTCTCCTCTCCTTCTTCTTTCTCACCTTTTCCTCCTTTGCACCATCTTCCAACCCTTCGTCTGCGCCTGCCTGCTTGTCATGTCTTTCCAATCTGGCAAGCTTCGCGCTGCCATGCGGCCTGCACCGTCTGCCCTCGCAAGCATCGAGAAGATCAACTTCCTTATCCGCCGCGGGCTTCCCATACGCATCCTCAAGCGTTCGCTCCCACCATGCGTCTAGGAAAGGGCGTCGCTCGGCACCAATCCCCAGCTTCTCGACGCGCTTACCGGCACCCAGCGGCTCCACGCGCCCGTCACGACGTGCGCCGAGTCCAGTGCCTTCCTCCCATCCCATCTTGCTTAGAAGCTTCGCGCCGATACCGCCGACGGCCCCCATCTTGAAGCAGGGCTTTGGTCCGTGGAATGCGGGAGAGAAGGGGAGGAAGGAGAATGCGGTCAGGTCGATAGAGTCAGAGGATGGAACGGGAAGGGGAGTCGACGGTCGGCCGAACGAGCCTCGTAGTCTACGCTGATCGCGATCTAGTCGTTGTAAATCCCGATTCCGGCCTGTTTCCGACAAGATGGCTGGATGTGTACTCGCTGGATGGCTGTAGACTCGCATGCCTGAATTTCATTTGGTTTCTCGCGGATGGAGGCGCATATGCAACCAATAAAACAATGCCATCTACGTGTGAAGGCGAATCATGATAAGGTCGTGTAGCCCGCGTTTATCCTTCTGGTACAGTAGTACAGAATCATAGCGCAGAAACCGCAAGTCAGCAGCGAAATCCTTACTGTACCACCGAAGTCCTCATTACGCCAGATCGCATCTACTGCTCTCTCACAAGCCTTGAAACAGGGTCGTTCTGAATCCCGCTTGCGCCTTCACCAAGCCTAATCTCGATAGGCATTTGCCCTACAGTTTCGTGATGCCAACTCCTCCCCTCGACATAGACTAGCTTCTTATTCTCTCTACACTATGCCGTTTGCTCCGTAATCTGATCCGGCCCAGCCTCGGCACTCATGGACTACGTCCGCTACCTCCACGCGAAAGCCACTGTCGACGACCGCGCACTCAACTTGACCGTCCTCCAGGCCTTCGAGGCCCATGTCGTCCGCCATGCTGCACGCGACCGCCATCATCGCCTTCGCATCGTCGAAGTTGGTGGGGGTGTCGGCGCCATGTTTATGCGCCTGCTACGTCGCGGTAAGATCTTTGCTGGTCATGAGGCCGTCGAATACACCATAGTAGATGTCAAGCTGGAGGTCATTCTTGCTGCTCAGGAAAACATTCTTGCAAATGCGCCTCAAGTTCTCCAAATTGAACCGGTCCCAAGAAATAACCGCGACCTGTCGCAGTCGAAATATTCCATGCCTCGCCATGGCAAGGACATCGCTGCCTTGCACCACACCGCAACACAAAGAAAAGATCCCGTCGAGCTGTGCAAGATCGCCCTCACGGATCGCATCTCTGTCCGACTTGTCCTCGGCGATGCTCTCATCTACTTAAAGACTAGAAAGAGCAAATATGACGTGCTTATCGGCGCTGCCGTCATGGATTTGTGGGAGCCTGAAGCAACCCTCAAGACATTCTTTCACGCCCTCAACACCAGCACTGGCATTAACGCGTTTTACTTACCCATCACGTTTGATGGCACGACCGATTTCTTTCCTACGTCTTCAGAGGGAGCTGATTGTGACCGCAAGGTCGAACACGCTTTCCATCGCGCCATGGGCAGTCGCAAGATCATGGGATATGACACTTTGGCATGTCACACTGGTAGGCGCTTGGTTCCTTGTATTAAGGGCTTAAAGGCAACTGTCAAGTCGGTCGGTGGTTCCTCATGGTTCGTATCACCAGATAAAGGGATCTATTCTAATGACGAAGCCTATTTCATCGCTTGCATCGTTGACTTTATTCAATCCACATGCGACAAGTCTGGTGCAAATGGATTTCCAGCAAGCTCCGCGTCGGTTTCGCGATATCTCGCGAACCGCAGAAAACAGATTTCCGACGGTACACTAGTCTATGTTGCTCACAACATAGATGTCTTCGGTGTGCTTTGAGGCACATCGCTTAATCAAACCTGCAACTCATGCGGGCTCGTGTTTAAGTTTTAGAATATTTTCAACTTCGGCAAGCACTTTAGTGAACGTTTTGCGTTGTGATGAGGTTTTGGCCGTTTCCTCCATGAATTTTTGCTCTCTTTTTTTGGCTTCTTTCGAATTCTCGGCTCTTTGGCTCTGCATCTCAGATCCAAGCCTTTTGATAGTATCGGCAAAGTCACGGGTGCTCCCTACTATCGGAACGTCCTCCGCCGCTTGCTCGGCACTGATTTCCTGTCGTTATAGACAAAGATTGCATGGAAGTGATAGTGGAATATCGCGGGTGAGTCGCGAGATGATGATGGAAATATATCGGATAGAGGAATACGCTCTTGGCGTGGATTGGTCGCATGTGTGAGAGACTGTTGACGTACCTTTGCGAGAGCCATCGCAGCAGCAATGCCGCTTGGAAGAGTTCTCTTTTGAGTCGAAAGTGTTCTTGAAATACTGCGGGACGCAAGAGCAGCTATCTGACGGAGCTCTGCTTCGCTTTTGGCAGCCTGGTCTTGCATTTTCTTGATTGTTCTTTGCCGCATTGCCTCGGATTTCCTCTTCTCATTCTGTTACCGCATGTGCTCTTGAGTTGAGGGCTGGACGATTAGATTCATTCGCTGAGTTCGCCAGTTGCCATGACTCGCTTGAGGAAGAAGGCTGAAAATGAATGGGACGGAGATTTTCGCGTACCTGTAGCTTTTTTTCAGCTAAAGACCTCATTTGTTGAAGGAAATGGTTGTTGTCTGTGTCTTCACCACTGAGGGGGCATTTGACAATCTCAGTGCTGACTACCGGGAGATTCTTCGGGGTGCTTTTCTTCGCTGCTGCTGTCTTCTTGGATGTCGTCCGTCTCTGGCGAAGTTTTCGGTTTTGGTTGGATGGTCTTGATTGTGCGTTCCTCTTTTTGGGGGCGTCGGTCAGCGGCTTTCTCAAGCGCTGGCGCTGTGTTCTCGGGTTGGGCCGAGAGATTTCATATGCTTCGCCGTGAAGTTGGTGCAGGATGGTATCCAAGACCGATCTGCACGGACTGGAATTATTTAGCTCCGAGCAGCCATCTGGAGCTTCGTCTGTTTTCTTACCTTCCGCATCGTCACGTAGAGAGTCAAGGTCGGCGTCACGGTCATTACCCATGCCTGCAAGGAGTGTTTCGATGTCATCCAAGGGGTCCTTCATCACGCTGGATCTACTGCCTAGCAGAGCGCAAGCTTAGAAATGTTTGAACGAAGCACAAGGGCCCGCTAACGTTAAGGCACTGGTAAGCCGGTACCGCGATAGCTTGAACGGTGTTGTACAATTATTCATATGAACCCTGGACAACAGAGTGTGAAAGGGCCTTCACGGCGGTCCGCAGCATCCGTTAATCGACGCCGAGAGAGCGTGCAGGGCGTGTTTTGTTTCGAAAGCCGAGTGGGACTGGGGCGTTTCTGTTCGCCACAACAGGGCGTTGCCGAAACGAAAGCAGGGTACAGTATTGCAGCGGTGTTTTAAAGATGAGGTAATAGTACATGCGCGTACGAGTACAGCGCATACTCTTTTAAAATTGCATCCAGGACCTATCCCTGTGCTCCTTTTTTGTGACGGCTATTTTTTGCCCCAGTCGGGTTATTTCCTCCTGCTTCGGTCTTGTTGAGCGCTACGTCCCGAGAGTAGGTTCGTTGAACGCAGAATTGTGTTGTCGTTAAGAAGATATACGTTTTGTCTCCAGGAGACCCGTACTTTTCGAGTAGTGTCCTCCCGAAAAGTGTGGGGTGGTCCTATTTTGTGATCGGGGCATAAACTTCACAAAATGCACACAAACGTCTCAAAGTTCTCACAAGTTTTGTGAATCTCGCTTTGTTTTTGTGAATCTCACTTTATTTTTGTGACGTCAACATCTCGAAGTGCTCTTTTGTTGACTGTTTTGTGATTCACACACAAAATTGTTTTGTGACTCTCACACCGTTGTCTCACAATCATCTCCAACATCAACAAACCATCACAAACCCATCTAAAAAGCATAGCTGATAGCCTTGTTCTACAGATATTTTACGGCCTTCACTCTCGGGCTTGTGAAGCCTGCCTTATTCGTCGAGGAGTGCGTCGCTCAGAGTCAAACTCCCTCTCATGGACAGGAGAGGGCCCATGTCGCTTCAGTGTAGGGCGAGAATGCCAGACCGTCCGGCAACTGCAGCAGATAGCTTGCCTACATGTAGAACACCACTGCACCTGGCGCGAGCCCTTTCTAAGTGTCTTGGGTCGCCCGTCTTTTGTCCCTCTTTTGACCCAACTACATAGTACGCAGTAGGTTTGGGTCCCACTGACCTTCTCGTGCAGTAAATTCCGGTTCAACCTACGCAGTTGCGAACACGAAGGGAAGGGGAAGTGTCTCTGGAAACTAGCCGTAGAGGGCTGGAAAGGGAGATCTTTTTTGTGTGACTTTGTTCAGTTTGTTTGCCTTTTGAGATGGAGAGCCTTTTATATGTGATCTTTGTGATGCCCTCACACAACTCACACAAAGTCATCACAAAATGCACACTGCCATCACAAAATGCACACTGTCAGTGTGAGAGTTTTGATTTCAAGGTTGACGTTTGAGAGTTTTGAGATGCGTCTCACAAAACCATCACAAAAGATTCACGAAAATGTGTGATGTTTGAGACGATTTTTGTGATGATCACAAAACGTTTTCAAAAAGTGCTACAATTCAACAAATATTCACAAACCATGTGTGACGAATGAGAAGATGGAGTGAGACGAATGAGATGACGGCGGCGAAAAGAGCAAAACTCTCACAAATCGTCACACAAATCGTCTCACTTTTTGTGACGCCCTAAATCGTCACAAACCGGAGCACAGGGCTATAGAAAGCACCACATGTTGCCTTCGTAGAACGATCTCGGATCATACGAATACTTATAGCAGTGCCTACTCTCAAGCGCGAACGCAGGAGTGCATCAAAGGTAATAGCTTTCAGCTGATTCTACTGCTTAGCTCCCACAGGTTGCACCAACAGCCGGTTTGCTTTTCTTGACCCGGCTGTAACAGGCATCATGCTGTGACAGGCGTCATACCGTACAGTACATGCACAATAGATCCGAAAAGTGGCACCGACACAGTACAGTAGCCTACTGTATTGATCTGTTGCCAAGCAACAAACGTCCTGCTGTCGTGATTACAAAGAAACGTAAATTACTGTGGGCCGATCAAAGAGAGGAGAACCATGGGTGTGTTGGTTGCCTGTGAAGTGTACTGATAGATACCCTCTACGTAGGACGTGTCCGGGTAGAACTACTTGTAGGCTGAGGTGGAGGAGGTTGATCAGATTGTGGTTTTGGCAAATAAATATCAGAGGGGTTTTGTCCTAGTAACGGATGCAAAACGGACATGAATAGCCAGAAAAAAACCCCACCAGATATTTGGAGGAAATGTGCATGCCGTTAGGTAAAGTGGCGCGTTTGGAGCTGGAAATTCATGGAGGGATGTGTACGCAAGCGTGAGGTTGGCATGCAAGCATGTCTCTGGAGGCTCAGACCTGCCATGGGGCCATCGTACTCATGACTCCAAGCTGGGCGCCCAATCTCACCATCACGTGGCAAATCCAACTACGTTTTCGCTATTGTGCAAAACGAAAATGTGCAGATTAAAATGAAGCGAGACTGATTCGCACGAGAAAATTGTAACAGTTTGTTTGTTTGCTATTCACATAATAATACTAGACTTGTTGAACAAGGAGTGACGAAAACCCAACGAGGCCAACGACATTTCTACAAGCAGGCGATTGCATAGCTACACAGTAGCAACAAGGACACATGAGAAGGCGAGGGACGTGAACGGCTTTGCCTCGAAATCGAGTGACACCTCATGAACTCTTAGTTGGCAGTGGCAACTTTGGTTGCTGTTGTCCTGCCTTTGTCGGCGCTTGCGGTCCAGGCGTGCCATCGTCATAATTCTCGCCTGGCGGCGGCTTCGAGAAGCGTCCCTTATATCTCGGGCGTGTCTCGGCGAGCCTTTTCCTGACCATGTATCTGACTTTCTTCTGGAATTGCCTTCTCCTCTTCTTGTCTCGAAACCTCTTCAGCGCCTGCAATCTCTCCTCTCTCGTGTACCTGAACAGGGTGCTGTCCGCGCCTCGCCCATGATGCGACTTTGACAGGGCGACGGGGCTGGACGTGGCCTTCATGATAGCCGGTGAGGCGACAGCGGAGGTGGCAGGCTCAGTAGCGTCAGAATCGGAGCAGGTCTCGCCAGGCTCGGAGCAACTGCTCGGGGAGGAGCGGTAGATGTGTGGTGAGGCGGCGGGTAGTGCGAAGCGTTTGGGTGTGCGCTTTACGATGGGGCGGTCGCCGCTCACTGCAAGCAGGAGCTGGACTGCTAGGTTTGTTTCGCTATTGATGCGCTGCATGGAGGAGGTGGCGGCACGGCCGGCTCCCATGTTGAAAGAAAATGGGTGGATCGATGGAGTGATGGGTTTGGGGGGGGGTGATGATCATGGAAGGCTACGGGGAGTGTGAGGTGGGGGGGGGGGGAAGGGGGGGGGAGACGGATGGGGCGGAAGGCAGGAGTGGTCGGTATACGTTTATTGCTGATGGAATTGGGGGACAATGAAAGGTGGGCCGCAGGCGAGAATTAGGAAGCGTTGCGGGCGGCGGTTTGTCGGGGCTGGGCATGCCAACGAGGGAAATACGGGAACGGGGGGAGCGTGTGCAAATATCTGTGTAGATATTTGGGGGTTGGGGGACGCGTGGCCGGCGGGGAGTGGCGGGAGCGGGCGGAAGGAATCTAGAAAGCGTACTTGGCGCGGCGCGGTTGGACGGGGGGGGGCCCGCCGGATGCGGGCCGAGATTGTCCGGCAGATTGTGCAGGCGGCAGGTGCGTACAAGGCTTGTGTGGCCACGGCGACGGCGGCGCCGGTTGAGATTTTTGTACGCGCCATGTCATACCCTTGAATGGTCGACTTTATGGAGAAAGTACAGGGGCGGCCCTGTGCAAGAGCATTAGGGCCAAACCCTTCGAAGGGTACCGCCATGTCTTCCACTGTTCTTCATGCGGCCGCACCATTGCCAGCATCGCGCGTCCGCCGGCCTCCCGCGAAACACGAATCAGATATCTCGGCGCCGCCCAATCGCTGCCGCCAAATCGCCGCCGCCCAATCGCCGTTCTCGGAGGCTCCTTGCCGCCCCGATCGGAACAAGCCTAGTATGATAAACGACTGAAGACCCCTGCAATTGTTACTCGGATTCCCATATAGGCCGGCCCCCCGCCTGAAAAGCCCCTGTTTTCTCGGGTTTCGAGGCTGCCGGTTACTGTACAGTACATACCTTCAACTCGTGGCTTTCGAAACCGCTATTCCCCTCCAGTGCGCAGTAGTACACTACACTAAGGGTACTGTGTAACGCCACGAGAACCGCGAATCGCTTCTCATCAACGGCTACCGCTTTCTAATTCTTCGCGGCACAAGCCGCGCATGCCCTTTGCCCCCAGATCTTATCTCTCGTGCCCCCTCTCCCTAGATCCAATACGCCGTCGACAACCCGATTTAGATTTGCTACCTGTAAACCCACCCGCCTCCTCGCCATCCTGGTAAAAAGGCTTACCGCCTCGCTGCCTGGCTTTGCATGCATGCAACCTGCTTGCGTGGCTCCCGCTCGGAACAACGGGTGGCTGTAAGTGCGTCCCCGATTCCATCGCTGCAGATACTGTACCGCGCTTGCGCACTCTGAAAAGGAAACCGCGTTCGTGCGTCTCGTACGCGCCAATTGCGCGGCTCAGTCCTAGAACTCTGGGTTGCAGCACGATTTCGTGTCCGTTTAAATCCCATCACTGCCTCCGGACACCGCACCACGCTGCACCACTGCTGCGGTACAGCAGGCGCGTTATGGTACCAACAGCAGAACACCCAAGGCGTCCGTGTGCTCGACTCGAGAGCCTCTCGAAGAAGCACCGAGCCTGGACGGGAGGGCTCGGCAGCACCGCTGCGCGCACGCACTCGGATATGCGAAAGGGTGTGCCATATGCTGTGTCGTGTCACGAACTAGCCGGAACACAACTCCCGTTGTCGTCAACGTTTACAGGATATCGCCCACCAATGTAGATCTTTTTCGTGCGCCGACTGCAGATGCAAAGTTTTCGCATCCTGCCCCCACGTGCATGTTATGCTCAAGCACCAGGTCTGCTCTGCGAGCGTACTCTAGTAAGTATGGCGCAGCTTCCCGTTTACAACCACCGGTTCACTGTCAGACTCGTGCTTGGCCCAACGTCTCTCGCCAGACGCGAACTTCAATTGCATGAGCACCCGCACTCTGTACAACAAGCCTGCTTCCTATTCGTCACCACTTCCAAACTCCTTGTTGAGCCAAAAAAACACATCCCTGAGAGAAATCCAGCTCCGTGTGGTAGCTCTAAAAGCACAAGTTGCACCGCATCCTTCGTTAGCCCTGTGCAGCTCAGCAAGTTGCGAAGTGTCGCTAACCCGCGTATTGCATTGTAGTGCTATGGGCCTTCTTTGTGACGCCGTTAGTATAAAACCCTGAAACACCCTCTGACGCGCAACCGTCCCACGCCGATCTGAACCAGCTCTGGACGCTCCACTAGCCAGCATGCGTAGAGTCTAAACATCCTATACATGTCACCATTGAAGCAGTGTTCCTCAGTGCAGCAGCATCAAAGTATGTCTGTTTGTTTGCAAGGCACCGGCACCGCTTTAAAGTGCTTGTCAGGCATGCAGCTTCGGCCAGGAACCACCCTGGCGTAATCGCTCAACGGATTCGCACGTCCAAGCGTGTTTTTTGCGAGCGTTCTTAAGTAGTCGTGCGCACCCACAAGAAAGCCACGTACAGTATAGTCTCTAAGACTTCCCGTGCTTCTCGATCCTGCCGTATGGATCGGTCTAATGAAACGTCAGCTTTGGCAGCTCAGCCTGGACTTCCCCAACTGCACTCTCAAACCCGTTGATGTAAATGAATGACGACCTGCTTTAGAATATCTACGGCGTCTGCCTCTATCAGAATGTCATCGTCCGGACCGCTGAGAAAGATGACCCATGCTCCGATATAAGACCTATCTAGCTCTCCATTGAAAGAGGCATGCAACAGCCTCTTTCCTAACTCTCTCTCTCTCTCTTTCTCTCTTTACTTCGTGTTACAACTGTCGAGTTCCGTAAAACGCCAATGAGGTCTCACGCTGTGACAGTAGCCACGACAGGCCTATCAAAGAGTCGTCAGTGTTCGAAACAAATCGGTACATGCTTTCGTAAATATCTAAGGGCTCCCTTCCAGTAGAAGTTGTATATTCTGTACTATTCAAAGAAGACTTGCATGGTACATCCAAATACTGTGTGCCAGTCAACTATGTAGTTTCCGAGAGTTTTGATCATTCCATCGACGCCAGGCAGGTCAGGTACGGACCTCAGTTGCCTTGTTCTGGTACCAACTTCGACTACGAACATACATACTCTCGTCTAGAATTCAAATACTTACTTCTGGAAAGTGAGAGTCCTGCATGTGGAAGAGTGTTTCCCATACTTAGGACATTCATAGAGATGGTCTTTGAGCTGTAAAAGGCTCCACTAAGTAGGTAGGTATTCTGCACAACAGAACTTCTGATGATATTTCATGTAGAAGCCCAATTCATCTTCCCGTGACAAGAACATTGGCTTCGTTTTTGATATATCTGCATCGCGTTTTCAGGTGTCGTAAACATATCTCGATCGCGTGAAGCTCGTGTGCGGTCCGGCCACTGGGCTCGCTCTATAACCGGCGAATTGCGCAGCGGTGGTGTGAGCGGGGCATAGAGGGTGAGAGGGTGGTGAGGGTGGGGGAAGAATGAGGGAGTGGGGGCCCAGGAATGTGGGCTGCACTTCTCGATGTGTGTGATGCTGGTTAGAATCTCCGCGCCAACCTCCTCCACGAGTGGGATATTTGGCCTATGCTTCCTCAGTTCTCATACGCAAACCTGAAATGACTAACGTATCGTTGGTTTCTTTTCCACGCATATACACTTTTAAGAACAGCCACTCTACCACGTGAACTCTATTGCACCGGAACGGTATACAGTGCCTCCTACGATATAGTGCTATAGCGTGACATACCTCTAGCTATGGCACTATTGGAGGGATGGCACTATATAAAGGAGGCTCAAATACATATATTTGGGGACAAAGCACACTGCTAACACAAACAGAACAAAGCCTGTGTAACACAACTAAATAACTTCATCCTTTGAGTACTGAACCATGCCGGATGATACACGTGTGAGCTTATGATAACCTGTGCCAGAGGGTGAGTCATAGCACTATATGGAGGGAAGCACTACTAAAGTAGGCACTATTGAGCGACCCCCCCTGTATACGTACAGTATATATATATATATATATTTTTTCTTGAGCAACAGAGAGCAGCGGTCAACTCGATTGGGCCATTGGCTTGAGGGAACGCAATTCCGCCCTCATGCATATGCAACTCATGTCGTCGATGAGGGCGGGCCGCACGGCGCGTTACATTTACACGGCAGCCTTTGTCTTCTGTCCTCGACCCCAACTACTGCACTAAAAATACATATTTACGGAATGGCGTACAGTACAATAGTTTTAGAACTCAAATCTCCAAGAACGTTTCCCTTCGGTTCCCCGCTTCGGCTCTTGTTGTGTTGCAGCATCTCCAATCATGCCATCGTTCGACACAGTACGTCTAGTCCGAATGTCGAGATTACGCTGTCGTAAACTCGTTTCGGAGATGGATGTGTACGCAGCGATGCAGAGTCCCGGGCATGGACAAGCATCTCCCGAGAGCATATTCAAATACTCAAAAGAAAACCTCTTTTGGATACTGTACCAGTTTCCAACACTCAGCCCCAATTGCACAGACATTCTTGCAAAGCCTGTCCCACCCCGCAGTCGCAAAAAATAACATTCGGCACCGGGGATTCCCGAGTGATCCCTCACCTCAGTACTAGCCCGGCCTGAAGCGACTTGACTTCCGAGTTCGGGATGGGATCGGGTACATGTCGACTTAGTATGGCCGAATGTACCACTCATGATTTGTCCAACACTATTTATACCCAACGTGAATGGCATATATCAAATATTCTGTTCGCTAAATGACGTTAGGCCCTCCAACGTTAGAAAAATAAATGAACATCGCTAAATGATAAATGAACATCGCTAAATGATAAATTTACCCCCCTCGCTACAATGTTAAAGATATAAAATCCCCCTCGCCCTCTACCAGACCAACGACTTTTGACACAATGTCGCAGAAATGTGTGATATTGGCAGTCACTTGCATCGTTTTCTTAGACAGCGAAACTTGACATCTTCACAACAGAGTTTTGCTCCAACTTTTCGAACGAATTAAGAATGACAAATACTACGTAAGGTCTGATGAAGCCAGAGGAAGCGCAAGGACT